TTCTTCAGTCTTCCTTATTCATTGTCCAGCTCTCACATGCATATGAGGTGATTGAAAATACCATGGCTTGGGCTAGGCACACCTTAGTCTTCAAGGAGACATCTTTGCTCTTCAGCCCTTGAAAAGAGGTCTTTTGCAGCAGATGTGCCAAGTGCAATACATCATCTGATGTCTTGACTGGCACTTCCTTTAGTGTTGACTGTGGACCAAGTAATATGAAATCTTTGACAACGTCAAACTTTTCTCCATCTATCGTGATGCTGCTTATTGGTCCAGTTGTAAAGATTTTTGTTTTCTTTATACTGAGGTATAATTCATACTGCAGACTGTAGTCTTTAATCTTTATCAGTAAAGATACTGATAAAGGTGATCAGTAAAGATCACCTTCACTTTAAGCCAACAAAGATGTGTCATCTGCTTATCGCTGGTTGTTAATGAGTCTTCCTCCAATACTGATGCCATGCTCTGCTTCATATAGTCTAGCTTCTCAGATTATTCAGCATACAGACAGAGTAAATATGGTGGAAGGATATAATTCTGATGCACTCCCTTCCTGATTTTAAACTATATGGTATCCCCTTGTTCTGTTCGAACAATAGCCTCCTGGTCTATGTACAGGTTCCTCATGAGCACGATTAAGTGTTCTGAAATTCCCATTCTTCTCAATGTTATCCATAATTTGTTATGATCCACACAAATGCTTTTGTATATTCAATAAAACACAAGTAAACATCTTTCTGGTTTTCTTTGCTTCCAGCTAAGATCCAACTAACATCAGCAGTGATGTCCCTCATTCCATGTCCTGTCCTGAATCCATCTTGCACTTCTAGAAGTTCTGTCAATAAACTGCTGCAAATCTTTTTGAATTATCTTCAGTAAGATTTTGCTTGCATGTGATATTATAATATTGTTCATAATTTCAACATTCTGTGGGATCACCTTTCTGTGGAATGGGTACAAATACGGATCTTCCAGTCAGTTGGCCAGGTAGCTGTCTTCCAAATTTCTTGGCATAGCATAGACAAGCGAGTGCCTCCAGCTAGGCATCCATTTGTTGAAACATCTCAATGGGTATTCCATTGATTCCTGGAGCTTTGTTTTTCACCCATTCCTTCAGCACACCTTCAACTTCTTCCTTCAGTACTACTGGTTCTTGATCATATGCAACCTCCTGTAATGGATAAACACCGACCAATTTTTTCTGGTACAGTGACTCTGTATATTCCTTCCATCTTCTTTTGATGCTTCCCACGACATTCAATATTTTGCCCATAGAATCTTTCAATATTGCAACTCTAGGCTTGAATTTTTTCTTCAGTTCTTTCAGCTTGAGAAATGTCAAGTGTGTCCTTCCCTTTTGGTTTTCTAACTCCGAGTCTGCACATTTCATTACAATAACTGACTTTGTCTTCTCGACTTGCTCTTTGAAATCTTCTGCTTAGCTCTTTTATCTTATCATTTCTTACATTTGCTTTAGCTACTCTCCACTCAAGGGCAAGTTTCAGAGTCTGTACTGACATCCATTTTGGTCTTTTCTTCCGTTCCTGTCTTTTTAATGACCTTTTGCTTTTTTCATGGATGATGTTCTTGATGTCATCCCACAATTCCTTTGGTTTTTGGTCATTTGTGTTCAATGCATCGTATCTATTCTTTAGATGGTCTCTAAATTCAGGAGGGATATAATCAAGGTTATATTTTTGTCTCTGATAGACTTGTTTCAGTTGTCTTCAGCTTCAACTTGAACTTGCATTTGAGCAGTTGATGGCCTGTTCCACATCAGCTCTTGGCCTTGTTTTGGCTGAAGATATTGAGCTTCTCCATCGCCCTTTTCCACAGATGTAGTCGATCTGATTCCTGTGTGCGCCATCTGGCGAAGTCCATGTGTATAGCCACCATTTGTGTTGTTGAAAAAAGGTATTTGCAACGAACAAGTCGTTGGTCTTGCAAAATTCTATCACGTGATCTCCAGGGTCATTTCTATCACCAAGGCCCTATTTTCTAGCTAGCAATGATTCTTCTTGGTTTCCAACTTTTGCATTCCAATCACCAATGATAATCAACACATCTTGACTGCATGTTTGGTCAATTTCAGACTACAAAAGTAGGCAGAAATCTTCAACTTCCTCATCTTTGGCTTTGGTGACTGGTGCGTAAATTTGAATAATAATAGCATTAACTGGTCTTCCTTGTTGTTGTTGTTATGTGCTATCAAGTCAGACTCACAGCGACCCCTCTGCGTTTCAAGACAGTATCACTACAGAAGTGGATTGCCCAACCTTCCTTCCGAGGAGTGGCTGGTGGGTTTGAACCTCCAGCCTTCTGGTTAGCAGTCAAGTGCCTTAGGCACTACGCTACCAGAGCTCCTTGTAGGTGTATGGATATCATCCTATCACTTACAGTACTGTAATTCAGGATAGTTTGCAAGTCAATACAAATATTAAAATTAGTTTGGCATTTGGTTGTTGCAATTTTGGGGCTTTAGCATTAGTATAATTTTTTATTACACTGATACTACCCCTGAAACTTTGGGGAATGAAATACAAAAAGCGTTGAGTTATAGTGGAAGTCTCCTAAACCACAATTGTTGAATATGTCCAGAATCCAATCAAACTGAATGAGAGCTCTGTCTGAGACAGTACCGGAAAAAAAAAAAAAAGAGAAAGTAGAAAAGTATCTTTGTAAATAATTTACGATTTTAACTTCAACTAATTAATATCTTAGAATAGCAAAGATTTATTCTCTCTTAAGAAAGAACTGGACAACAGAATGTATATGCAGTTTTATAGTGCTAGCATTATATATTGGTCTTTAGGTTCAAACCCACCAGCCACTCCTCAGAAGGAAGGTTGGGCAATCTCCTTCCATAGTGATCATAGTGATACTGGCTCACAAACCCAAGGAGGGGTCACTATGAGTCGGGTCCGACTCAATGGCAAACAACAACAACAACAACAGGGTTGTCGACAACCCGTGTGATTATTTTAGTAGAACAATGACCAATTTGAGATGAGAAATATATTGTAGTAACTTAGTAATATGGGGTCTTGGGGTAAACTTCAAATGAAGCAATTTCATTTTAGTGCCTCTGGGAACAACATACTAAGGCATATGTAGAGCTTGGGGGTCCATGGCCAACTCACTCATCTCAAGTGGACCTTAAAGATCAAAACAATTGCACTGCAAATTTATAAGCAGGAATTTTACTTAACCCTCTTGATATTTCTGAATTGGTTAACAACACTTCTGTTATAGTACTGGCCTAGCTATGGAACCCACTGGCTTAAATGGTACAAAATATATTGGGGGAGTGATTGTCTAGTATAGTCAATCTTCCTCATAGCACACCCTCTAAGATGTGTTATTTATCAAAGTTAATGTCACAACAAGACAGTACATTTAGCAGCAATGAAGGTAGAACTGATGGGGAAGATGAAGAAAAGGGTCAAGTTATCTTCTTGGTTCATTCTTCCTTCTCATTTGGACCTTAAAAAGCACGGAGGGCAAATGAGTAACGTGGTCAGGAAAAAATAAGCAGAAAAGTTAAAGCAGGCTGACAACAGTTTATAGGTTAAGTAAAAATCGCCCCTGAGGATCCCAAGAGCTGGGTAGGTGACCAGACAAGGATTTGGAACAGAGATTCTAACAAATAACAAAGTGTATATCCACTGGGATATACTCCATCTTCTCTTTTAAGGTACTTCTTGAGCAATAGTAGATAGACTAAATAAAGATTTAAGATCTCAGCTTCTAGCTTATATATTAGTTGAGGACTGCCTAGATACAGAAATACAAATTATACTTAAGTCCTATTAAGACTGCAAATGTAAAATAAAAACGGCAATTTCAAAATTTAAAAAAAAATCATCTAATTCAAAAGCCATATTCAAAATATTAATAACTGCAAAAATATTCTTAAACCAGTCACTGAAACAGTAAGAAACCGTAAATGAAGTATCACTAATCCAGTATTGATCCTAATCTAAATTGGTAAAATGGGAGTTAAAACTTCAAGAGAACTATATCTTGGCAATTTTTTCAACTCGATTTTAAAATCTAGTATTTTTTAAGTTCTGCACTCTCCCTGGAGCTCTAGTAGCGTAGTGCTTAAGGCACTTGACTGCTAACCAGAAGGCTGGCGGTTCAAACCCACCAGCCACTCCTCGGAAGCAAGGTTGGGCAATCTACTTCCATAGTGACACTGCCTCAACAGCCCAAGGAGGGGTCGCTATGAGTCGGGTCTGACTCGACAGCACATAACAACAACAAGCACTCTCCCTAAAAGTAGTGAGTGAATGAACAAATGCCAACTAAGTTCCTATTTTTCTTTAGAATAGTATTCAACTTTCTTTAGTATATATGTATCAAAGAACAAGTGGAAGACCATATATCTAGGTATTAGGCAGATGTTAAGTTAATCAAAAGATCTGAAGATTAGTTCTACATATCGTATTTGAAAAGAGACAATAAGTTGAAAGTGTCTAAAAGGGTCAAGTTTCTGAAATTCATGTAAGGAAAAATTTTTCAAATATAAAGTTACGAATATTTTCTTTGAAAGATTTAAATGAGAAGGACAGATGCAGACAGAGAATCCCTCTCATTTGAAGATGATTTCTTAGAAGAGATATGATGGTGTGAAGCACCTGCCACAGCACCTAGCACATAGTAAGTGTTACCATAAATGTGAGTCTTCATCTCTCTTTCGATGAGTTAGTAGGATTAAGACCAACTGCAGAGTTACAAAGAAAGACTATGACTAAAAATGCAAGAAACTGGTACCAAAGGCAGTTCCCTGACATTGGAGGTATTCAAGCTGAGGCTTAAGGACTCTGCCAGGAATGCTGTAGAAGGAATTCCTGATTTGTATACAAGTCTGGACCAACTGAGTTCTAAAATACCTTCTAACTCCTTATAATATCAAGGTGATCACTAAGGAAATGATCACTATAATTCTCCTCTTTCCTCAATTTTATCACTTAATGTAAACTGATAGATTATCTTACCTATGAGATTCTTGCTCTCCTTTCATTTTCTCTACTTTTGATAACATATCATCAACTTTAAATGTTTTCCTGGAAGAAACAGATAAACAAAATAATCACTTCTCAACTGGGAAAAACAAACAGATTATACTTTATTGTTACTATAGTAGGCAAGATGGAAAACTGATTTTGATTATTTTAGTAAGAAAAACTATGGGTAGTTAGCTATAACAATGAATACTTTTGAGAAAGTGTATATTATAACAGCTAAGCCTTCAAGCCCCAAAGGTTTCCATGAAACCTTTTGTAATTATTCCCAACCCAGAGTAAGTACTCCTTATGCATGGCACATGGTTTATATTTATCTTGACATTTAGTCTCCTACGTGTGAAACTATATAAATATTTTATTTCTCCTACTAGATGATAAGCTTTTGAAGGGCAGAGATTGCTTTTCTTCAAAGAAAACCATGTAGTACTTGGCATGGTGCCTTGTACTTGGTAGGTATTCAAGCATCTGTTAAACTGAGCCAAACAAATGCAAATTACATATATTTTGAAACATTCACACTTTATTAAGTAACCTGACCAATATGTACTAGTATCATCACATAAAAATGGATATTCTACAAAACATAGCTGAAGTTTATAAAGCATCCTCTAAAACTATTAGCTAGCAAAGCCCAAAGGTAAACGATAGAAGTCATTTTAAAGAGAGGGTTGTTGCTACCATGAAAAGATTTTGAAGTTTAGGGGACATACCCATTATATCATAACAAAATAATTAGGTTTTAACTGGACAAGTTTAAGGAAAAGAAAGTAATTCATTAACTGGAAACAAATGTTTCTCTTTATACTAACATATTCTCTTTAAATTTAGAACTTTAAAAGCTTAATGTATTCCTCTTTATTACTTTATAAAACTTCCAAATACTAGAAATTACCATTTGCTCATTCCTCAAAAATAACTATTGTAATCAACTACTATAATTTAAAATTGCCAGCAAGAAATGTTAATATAAATACATTGCAGTAAAACACTGATAGGAAGAGCAGAATTGATACAATTTATGTTTTAGGTGAGTAAGACCAGCCTCTGGTAACAAAAGACCTTTTTATAAAAAGCTTCTCTCTTTACCTTTAGAGTTACTGAAAACTTCAATATTAAAATTTTATCCAGTAGAGCATAGTAAGAAGTACTTTATGAAGGACGGCAATGCCTTTTCAACCTCCACAGATAAGAGAGAAGAAAGAAGAAAAACACAGGATTCTTCTAGGCTAGTTAAAAAGAACTTTTCAGTATAAATATGAAAGGTACTGTTAAGGAGGTCTGTGAAGTTATTAGAAACTTCTAAGAATAATGTTTATATTTATGTCATGATTAAGAAGAAACTCTATTTGTAGGAAGAAGGGCAAGACTATAAATTTCAAAGTTCATCTCTTCCAACATTACAAAGCTGTGCATAGGAGAAGTGCATAGGAGAATAACCAACAATTAATAACCATTTGAAATAGATGAGATCATAAAGGCAAACCAGCCTTTCTTAGGAAAACAAACACACACCATAACCAACTACACAAAAGCAGACCCTCTCCCCCAACACAAAGTATTTTTCCATAGAAAGGTACTGCTAATTCACAGATTTGACAAGGGAAATAGTTATCAAACCCGTTGCTGTCAAATTGATTTCAATTTATACCAACCCTATAGGACAGAGTAGAACTACCTCAATAGGGTTTTCAAGATTATAATGTTTATGGAAGCAGATTGCCATATCCACCTCCAGAGAAGCATCTGGTGGATTTGAACCACTGATCTTTTGGTTGGCAGCCCACCACTTAACCACTGCAAAAAGTCATCAAAAATAGTATTTTTAAAATTCAAGCAATTTTAGGAAGTTTTCTTGAGAAGGTTCAGAAACAAGTTACACAAAATCTAGTAAAACGGATTCAATAAAAGATGCCCTTCTCCTCACCTGTACTTCTACTGTATCACTGTAGTGTTAGCCCATAAAATTTTTAAACTTCTAGGAAGTGAGACCAGAGTATAAGGTGAGTTTTAACAAATATACCAAAATTATTACATACAACTGAATGTATAACTTCAAAGAGAGGACAAGTTTCTTCCAACAATGAATATTATATTGTTGTGATACTAAAAAAGGAGTTCCCAAAACATTTTGAACAAAAGGTACAATCACTGAGCTAAACGTGTCACTTTCCCAAATCACCAACTACTCTGAAGAGGACAGCACTCATTTGAAGATAAAAGTCGAAGTAAAATTTGTTAAAAATTAGTCTTATGTAAGCCAGGCAGAAAACAAAAGAATTTAGTGATTCCTTTGCATTTTTGTATAAAAATAAAGTAAGTGGGACTGATGTATTTCTTGGCTGATAAATTGCTTAAAACATCCCCAAAGTTAAAATTACCTTAAGAAAATCACTTTCTACTAACAAGCTTTAGTATTGCTTCCGCCCATTGGCAGACAACAGAAATGCATCCCAAAATGCTTAATAATTAAAACATGATAGGAAAACAATGAACTTTAAATGTGTATTTTTTAATGCATTTCTAGATTAACAATTAAACTTACTTAAAAATAACTTATAATTTAGTTTTAAAATTAAAATCAGGCAGCACCATAAATAGTAACTCAAGTGTCTTTCATATTAAAAACACTTTAATGAAAGAAAAAAATTAACTACTAAATCAAATTATTATAGATCAGAGGTCTGAACACCATGGCCATAGTCCAAATCCAACCTACCACCTGTTTTTCTACAGCCTATGAGTTAAGAACAGTTTTTACAGATAAACATTTGCAATCCATCTGACAATAGGAAACACTAACTTTAAAACCCTATTAAGAGAAATGTCATCTCTCTTACCCACCATGCCAAAAAAAAAAAAGGAACCTCACACTTCTCACTAGCAGGCCTGAATCACAAAAAATTATACTCAATTATTACTATATTTTGAATTTTGTCAGTAAGAAATTGGTGGATGTTTATTTTCTCTCTTTTTATATAAGTACCTATATAACATGTTCCATTTTTGTCTCCTGGTCCACAAAGCCTAAAATATTTTTACTATCTGGTCCTTTATTCCGGCATAGATTAAATACTGGAGTACAGAAGTAAAGAGCTGACATATTTAATTCTGTTGCCTAATTCATCACCTCGTTCCTAATTAGGTGCTTGGCAAGTTTACCTATTAAACGCAATGCTTTCTCTAGATTCAGAAAGAATGTCAGAAGTTTTAACATTTCAAAATACATCTCGATCTACCTATAAGGCTCAAGTAGGTCTTACTATAGAAAAAGTGATGCTTACTTAATAGCTAATAAGAATTCCCAAAGTAGTTTAGTCTATTGAGATAGCTTAATGGTTTTACCAAGTCAAGAGTAAAGTAACATCAAAACTGAATGCTAAACAGAAAAAGATCTCTCCTTTAAATTTAAACTTGTTCACTTGGTATGCTCAATAAATATAATCTTGCATCTAGGACAAGAAACTGCATTCCATATTATTACATATGGCTAAGTGCTAAAAGTTATACGGCAAAAAATAAGCTCTACCTCACATCTCTAGACTCCACCTTGAAACCAGATGATTTAAGTCTCGTTTTTCAAGAACATTCATCCTGTTGCCTTCAAAAGAATTTCCCCTTCAGTAAGATCATCAACAAAAATATTGAGACTTTCTGAACCTATCATTATAGAAGCAAATTCTTTATTATTAGATACATAAGATACCATTAAATACCAACAGCATAAGAGAAAACACTAATTTCATTCATTTCACTACCGAAATTTCTATTAACTGAGATGTACAAAAGCGACATCAAATTTCACTTTGCAACTAATTCAACCAGTCACTCTTCTACCTCAGGCTTCACATTTAATCTTTAATTGCAAATAGTACTTTAAAACAAACTTTAACAAGCTTTGATCAGTTTGAAATAAGATTCATAAAATGTACCTTTTGATGTTTGTCCTGGAGTTTCGATGAGACATGTAAGTAAGAGTTCTGTGCAAAAATATTGGCTATAAAAAAAAAGTTTAAAGAGTATTAAAACTAAATAACAATGACATTCGAAGAAAAAAAAATATACATATATATCATATGTAGTTTAATTTGATTACTTACCGCTATGAGATTTCGAGTTCGAAGAAATCTATAGATCTGTGTTGGTTCTAGGTAACAAGGAACAAAATCCAAACATTATCTAAATTGACTTATCACTTGTCAAGAAAATACCAACCCAGCCTGTGTTATCACCAATATAAACTGATAACCTGTTATGGAAATCATGTACTAAATACTACATCCAGGAAATTAATATGCACAAGATCAAAATGCATTCTATCTATGACATACATTCACAAAATTCATCTACATTTTATTTTAAATATAAGGTTCTCTACAATGTTATTCTTAAACCTTGCATTTCTAAAGTACCTATTGTTCAAACTAGTTTGTGTGTAGAATTAAAGAAAGAGTAGTTAAATTTAACTAATTTAAGCTATTTATAACCCATCTCCTTCCAAAAGCAGCTGAAATGAGGTAGTCAGCAAAGTAACTATTTATTTGAAGCTAAACAAAACAAAAACTTCACTTTTTAATTGGTAACTTTTAAAATTTGAATAGTTCAGCCAAAAGGGGATGAAACTTTTCCTAAATATCCTACTACAGATACGTTAAAAGTCATTATTAAAGACACGAAGAGACACAGTTTGTAGCTAAAACCCTCAACGAATATTTCTAATTACAGTTTAAATTTATATGTATTTTACTGAATGTAAGTATTACCTCAATATGACAGATTCTCAAAGCAATCTTTTAATGCTGAACTGTTAAAATCTAATTTGCTAGAATGGATTTAGGGTTTAGATGGAAAATATTTTACATACACATACCATAGTAACTGTTATATTAAGGAACTATTAGTATCACATTTCTTTAAACAAAGCAGTATCAAAATGAACTAAATATGAGTAGCTGTATTAGTATTAAAGCATTTAAATGTCCTAGAAACTAAGATTAGTATTAGGGAAGACTTAAGTTTGTTACCAAATCTACCTCTTAGTGACAATTAACTTCTCCAGGGTGGACTCACCAGAAAGCAAAGTTAAAACTTTCTTGGAGAATATGTTTTCCAACATTTAGAAAGAATTTTCAAAATTGCCACTTAATCTTCAATTAGTTTAGTTTTAATTTCAAGTTAAACTAAAAGGAGGTGCAATCTTTTAGAAAGGGTTACAAACAGCGATGTTCATAGTCATAATTCTCCACCATATTTTCAATTAAAGCTTCTCTAGATTTTCAAAGTGAATTAAGTAAAAATATGAATGATGTGAATCTCTCTCCCTCAGGAAGGTTCAACATTCACTTCAATAAAAACTGAAATTCCTTCTATAAAATTCCAATTAGAATGTCATCAAGTGCGAACGAAAGAGAATGAAGGAAGGATATTAAACAATGTAATACGTCTTTCCAAGCACAGCTGATACCATGCCCTTAACATATGCCACGGTAAAATTGTAAATAAAGACATTCAGCGGTAGGGCCAGGTTTATTCGGGTTTCTGTAAGATATGTAGCTATTAAGACCACCGAAACTATAACATCCAGACAAAAGTAAAAGGGAAAACAATGAAGCTATAACATTCATTAAAGAACAGTTAGTATTTATTTATAGTCACGATTTTTTTTTATAAGTTCTATTGTCTGTTTCACAGAGACCGTGCTCCCCTTTCCAAATAAGTCATCGTCTCGCCCCCAATAAAGAGAAATTGACCGAAGAAAATATTACCGAATTAAGCAAAGGGGCTGAAATCCGGAGTTGTCTCCAGAGAAGTAAGAGGCTTAAACACTCGCCGTGTCTCAACGTCGGTACCCTTAAAATGGGTTGATAGATTTGAAAGATTCAAAGCATCAAAAGGTGCCATGTTAACATGCAGCACCAAGTTAGTGCGAAGGCATTTCAAACTAATGACAATTCGGCCGGTTTTACTGTACTGATCCCTTCGCAGCCTTAATTTTGCTTCTCAAAACCTACAACCGAAACCCTTCTACTTCTAGAGTACGAAAGGCATCAAAGAAAACCAGAACTAGTCTTCAGGATCTGCCTGCATCCTCAGTTCCAACTGTAACCTCATCTAAAAGCAGCCTACTCGAAACGCGGGGCCCCTTGCTTAATCTCCTGTGCAGACCGGGCAGTCAAGAACCTACCCCGGACCCCTTAGTCCACCTCCCCAAAAGGCCCTGGACTTCAGGTCCTCTCGAGGCGCAAACCCCGAAGGGGAAATACACCCGCCCGGAATTCTTCTCCACTCCCAAATCAAGTGGGCTCCCGGCGAGGAAGGGGGGCCCGAGAGGAGTGTCCCGTCTCCCCAACGCTGGAATAGGTGAAGATCCCTGCCCTCCAAGCCCCATACACACTCACTCTCAAAGGCCTGGAGGAAAAGCTCGTGGTCAGCCTGGACGTGCTCCATTTTCGGCTTCTTCACCGGTAACACCGCGGCCCCAGCCGCTGCCGCCGCGGAGGAGGACGAGGAGGCCGAGTAACTGCCGCCGCCTCCACAGCCCCCGCCGCTGGATTTGCCGCCCGAAGCAGTCGCCGCCGCCACCGCCGCCGAACCCCCGAAGCCGCCTCCCCCGGACCCCGCGCTGGGCCCCGAGCCGCCCCCTCCCCCACCGCCGTGCTTCTGAGGCGCCATCGCGGTTCCTGCCTCCTCCCCCCGCCAGCTACCCGCCGGGCGGCCCCGGAGAGTAAGCGCCTGCAATACAAACCGCTCGCCCCAGCAGGCTCCGGCGGACCGAGGGGGGAAGGAGGAGAGAGGGGAGGAGAGGGGAAGGGAAGGGAGGAGGAGAGGAGGGAAGGAGGGAGGTTAAAAAAAAAAAAAAAAAGTGTCTCCTCCTTACAGCCCCGCTCGGCTCCCGAGGCCGCTCACCCTACCCTGGCCTCACTCCGCCCACTTCCCCCGCCCGGCGCTCTGATTGGACAACGGGAGCGCGCGCCGCCCGGCCGCCCAGCCTGTTGGCCCGCGGATTCCCCCGTCAGTCACGCGGAGGCGCTTCTCGAGGAGGCCCGGCTTGGTTGGCCCGTGCGCGCTGCCGATCGCGGGCCCGGCCGCCTCTTTGAACTGAATTCGCGGGAAAATTAGGGGTCGGAGCGGCCTTCCTGCTGGCCCGGTGCATTGTGGGGAGAGAGGGACCCAGCGAGCGGCTTAGGGAGCCGTTTCTCGCCCTCGGAGAGTTGTCAGTCACCGCCCCCAGGGGGGTACAAGACCCCTAAAGAGAGGCGGGCCTCTGCGGACCTGGGGCCGAGGGGCTTGTTAAATGAACTGAGAGATTCATTACGGCTCATCGAGTCTCTAACTTCACAGAAAGGGCCCTTCGTGAAGATTGGTGTGCCCACGTCGGGGTCGCTTCTTATCTGAGTGGATGCCAGGGCGGGGGTCGCGCCCCCTGTCCCTTCGTCACCACGTGCCTAACGCCACCGATAGCCAACTCCCACCCAGCAAAGCCATTAAAGGGACCTGGGGCAGTAGAAAAGTTGAGGCTTCTGCTCTGGACGCTACTGGGCTCCACCAAAGGGACTGATTTATACTGCAGGAGGGATTTCCTATAGAAGTGAGGAGAACTATTTTCTGTAGGTGCTGTAAGGCTTCTGGATAACTTCTTAAAAGTATATTAGCCCTTCTTGAGAGTCTATTTTTCGCTCTCAAAAACTTAAGAGGGAATCCGGTATTTTGCAGGTCTTAAAACTAAGATAGATGTACAGGGCCCATTTAACCTTCTATTACAGACTTGGTTTCGAATTGAGCTAATAATACTCAAAAGATTTGAATTTCAGGTTGAACAAGCTGATCCTTAAGGGTGTCCTTGCAATTCAAATCCTATGATCTTATATTACACTAAAATGCAACATTATCTTCATACATCCCAACCTATAAACAAAACTATTTCACATTGTCAAAAGCACTTTTATAGTTAATTGCAAAACACTTTATTTACAAAACAAGGATCTTTGGAATGGTTATTCAAGTTGTTTACAAAACAGGTCTTTTGGAATGGCTATTGAAATAACTAAAGTTAATTATCAAAGCATTTACTACAGTACTAAAGTACTAACTTTAGCAAAGTTTTTACTTAATTAACAAATTATTCATTTAATATCAAATCTAGCAGTTCGGAAACACACCTTTTATCTGAAATTGTGTAACCTGTTGCTGGTTTTTAAGTACAAAGCAAATGTTTTATATTCAGATAAGTGATTACACAGACAAAAAGTTCAAGATGCTTTATTATACTACTCTCTGTACTCTGTGTTTTTTTTAATTTCCACACACACAAAAAAATTTCTTTCTTATATTTCTGAAATAAACTTTCTCTGATTAATGCCCCCCACACACACAGAGGCTTGTGGATGTTTAGATCTTAATAAACTGCTGGTTTCAACTTCACAGGGTTAGAAAAAAGTTTCATCAATTCAGTCAGGGTCTGGAGAATTAAATCACACTAAGCAAATCATGATATAAAGTTATAAACCAGAATGCTAATTTATTAATTAACTGGCAAAATGGCCAGTCTTTATCATTTGTACAGGGTTCTCCCTTTTTGAGGGGTGAGAGCAGGTTGAGTTAAAGAAAAAGACTAGTTATCATAAATCCATGATGAACAGAGAAACGGGACTAAGGGGGCTGGGATGTTCTTAGATGGTTTCCTTTAAAAATCCCATGATAGCATTCTCGGCTTGGGTGTGGGCATGGTCTAAGTACTGTAGCTAACCAGTAATGGTCCTGAGAATGAGAGCCAGCCATTGTGTGTCTGACACATAAGCCCAAAACAACCAAACCTGTTGCCATTGTGTCATAACCTACCCTTAGCGATCCTGTAGGACAGAGAACTGCCCCCACAGGGTTTCCAAGGCTGATTATCTTTACGGAAGCAGTCTGCCACATCTTTCTCCCGCATAGCGGCTGGTGGGTTCAAATCGCTGAGCTTTTGCTTGAAAGGTGAGTTTGTAACCACTGTGCCACCAGGGTTCCTTAGGTGAGATAAAATTGTTACAAATTCTCACTTTTGGAATTTTCCTTTGTCTAGAATGTATGCAAGGCACTTGACTGCTAACCAGAAGGCTGGCGGGTTCAAACCCACCAGCCACTCCTTGGAAGGACGATGGGGCAATCTACTTCCGTAGTGATACTGCCTCGGAAACCCAAGGAGGGGTCGCTGTGAGTCGGATCTGACTTGACGGCACATAACAACAACAACAACAGAATGTACGTAAGTAGCTCTGGTAGCGAAGTGCTTAAGGCATTTTACTGCTAACCAGAACGTAGACAGTTCAAACCCAGCAGCAGCTCCGTGAACGGAAGCTGGGGTAGTCTACTTCCATAAAGATTTACTGCCTCAGAAAGCCAGTGGGGGTCGCTAGGAGTCGGAATAAACTCCATGGCAGTGGGTTTGATTTGGTTTATTCTTAATTAGAGTTTTATCCTATAGGTAAAATTTTACAGATCATTTCAGTTGTTACGTTCTGTGGCTACCTTATTTTGTATCATGATTCTAAATTTAGGGGTGACAACTATTGAGAATTATAGCACTAATTTACAACCACATGTAAATGTTTATTCCTCTGCCTCACACTGAATTTGAATTGCTCTCTGGGGTTGGTTGGTTGGTTTTGCCTTCATGCCATACCTGAAACTGAACTACATAAACTCCTAAAAAGTGAAGGCCATCATCCATTTCTTTTCTTTTTCCTGACACAGGGAGATATATTTACAAGGAAAGAATCACAGTTGCTTTAACACTTTATAATCATCAGTTTGCTTTTATGTACCTTATCTCATTTTTCATAATGATCTTATGACGCTGGTATTATTTTACAGCTGAGAAAATAGGCTTAGAGAGGTTAAATGGGTTGTTCATTTAGTAGCAAAGCTATGACTTGAGCTCAGGTTTTCTAACTCCAATTTCTATACTGTTTTGCAATCAGAATACAGTTATCCTTTAGAAGAGTACCTCAAGCTGAGGTACTCTTTCAAAGTTTAATTATTTAAAAAAAAAAAATGAAAGCCATCTAGTTTCCCTTACCAAAAAGAAAGTATTTTGTATTCCTCCCTATTTCTCATCATTGTGCACCCCTTCTTTCATGCCCCCATTGTGTCTGACAGAGACTTCAGTGCTAGAGTTTAAATTTTTTGTGTGTGCAATGGACTCCTTTGGCATTCTAGTAAACCTAGCAACCCTTTATTTTAAATGCTCAAATATAAGAGATACTGGATTATAAAGAAAACCAATTTTAATAAAATGCCATTATCAAACAGTAAGAAAAATGTTGTAGTCATATAGGTGTTTCTTTATGAATGTACTACGTAAGATTTAACAGCAGGTCAGTCTGATAACTATCATAATTTTAAAGTAGCGATAAGGGTAAATAATAGCTTGAGATACCTACAAGAACTGTAATATGATATGGAAATATCTGTGATTTCTCATGGTAACAAAGCCACGGGCCCTGCTAACAGGACTGTGATTTGTTGTCTACGTTAGTAATTGAAGGAAATGCTGAATTTCACTTAGAGATTAATGAAAATAAAGATGTAATTTTTTTCTCATCCAAGTTCATGGACCCCCTGAATCCATATCAAGTTAAGGACCCTTAGGTTATAGCAGCAAGTCTATTTATTTCTATTCCTCTAAAAGCTCTTAGTGGTGGAAATGATGGATGATTTAGCTCAGTAACTAGATCACTCTATCACTTTGCCTACCATAGGATAAGGGCTCACACAGTGAGTCCTGAGGAAGGAGGATGGGCACCAGTACACAAGTCTAAATTATGATAATGATTCAGTGCTTGCTATGTGCCAAAAAGTATTTTAAGTTTTTAATCTTTTCAACATTTTTAACTCATTCAAACTTCAGACCAACCCTCTGAGGCAAGTATTATTACTGTTATCCCATTTTGTAGATAAAAGTGTGTTTCCAGACCTCTCTCTCACTCTTAAAAATTATGCCATTAAACTAGATAGTTTCAGCAATAGAAGATATTGCACATGTCATTACTAGGTCAAGAAAGATTGATATTTGGTACTGCATTGTCAGTGAAGGCAAACATGGGTATATGGGTGGATAGATGGGTGAACAGATGGGTGGACAGGCTGAACTAGTAGTAGGTATGTCTATGAAGTGGGGAGTATACCCAAGAACATGTATAGGGTTGGCAGACAACCGTCCTATAAGTTTATGTGTATGATCTGAATTCCCAGGTGTATAGTAGAACTGACAAGCGGCAAGGTGGTAGTCACTGCTTGGTCACAGCCAGCTACCCAGAGGGAGTGAGCAGAAAAAAAAGAAAAAGAAAAAGAAAAAAAACAAGATTGATATTTGTAAATATTTCCTCTGACGTGCTAGAATGAATAATTATTAGTTACTGAATATGTTTGCCAAAAAATATCTAGCTATCAGTTCTCCTTTTTACTTGTATAGCATCTTTCTAACCCTTCCCCACCTCCATCTTAAAATTGAGGGCCAATCTATTAAAATGAAACAATGCTATATCAGAACAAAAAAATATATATGTTTAAGCCCTGCTTTGAGGAAATTAAAAAGTTATATTTGTTGGTAAATTCTGTTAAAAATATAATCAAATTTTATTTTAAAAATGTCCTCCAAAGTAAAAATAGTACTGATCTTCCTAACAAAAGAATAATGTAAAAGAATAGTTTCTACTGAAAATGTTTTGTAACTTAAAACCAAAAGTTAACTAATTTTTAATTCCTTTCCTAAGAAAGAAAAACATGAGAACCGTGGAACATTTACTGTCTATTATGGGGTTTTCATAATGAAACACTGATTTTCTATGTGTGTATATCTAGAGTTAACTACAAGTAATAAGGGTGGTAGTACTACATATAATAAGACTATA